ATTTTTGCTCTTAGTACGTGTGATTTGACAGTTGGAAGAATGAAATAAACTGCATTTTATTAGAATTGTTTTAATAATATTCACTTGTAAATATTCTTCACCATAGATAATTCAGGAAATATACAGACCCTTTTCATGATTACATTTCTCATGCTTTATATTCTTTATAAAGCAAGAGTGGCACATTTATGCATATTTGGATTTCTAAGCAAGTAGAAATCAATGGGAATTAGCAAATTATGGAAATAAATCTCTTTAGGCAGCTATCGTTAAGTGCATAAATATTTTTAAATCTGGCTCCATATTATTAGATCTAGATTTATTCTTATTAGCTATTTTATACGTTCTTCCCAAAGGGGAAAAAAGGGACCTTGAAATCCTGGGGCATTCAAGGTTTATTTTAGCATCATCATTTGTTGTTAATTAGAGCAAAATGCATATTAGTAGAATAACTGAAATACTTTTTGATTTGAAATTAGAGTTTGAGCAAATACTTGGGTTGCATGTAGTAGCATATTTGAAATGAGGTTGCTTTTTATGCCAGTGCTGACAAAATTGCTGTTTGCATTTATACAAAATGAATTAGTGACATTCCAAGTGTACTGCTGTATTTTGTTCTGTACAGGAACTGAACTTACAGTACAGGAAGCTATATTTGTAGTGGTTATTAAAAAAAATTGCTTTTGAAGTTGATAAAGAGTTTTATCAAGTATGCATTGAATTCAATACAAGTTTTTGCTTAAGTATTGGCTTCATAATTTTGTGTCAACTTCATTGGAAATAATTGATAAAATCATGCAAGTTCCTTATAAAAACGAGACTATTTCAACATTCAGTTAGTAAGACAGCTTTGTAGACACTGATACTTATTTTTCCGAAATGATGATAAGGAAGTTCCTTGGAGGCAGGTAATATTATAAATACATACGTGTATTTGTGTGTCCATGCAGGTTTTTAAATAACCATTAAAATCGTAACAACCAAAAAAAACAGTTTTCTTTTCAAACTGTACTTATGAGAGAGCTAAGTGCGTGTAGCAGCAGCCGTATGTTTTGTTTCTATGCCATCTTTATTTCTGGACATCCAGTTGCATTGTAAATAGTACTTGCTTCTTTCCCACTTGAGCATTCATAGTTTGTGTTACTATATAGTGTCCCCCAGCATTTGGGTGACTCATGTAATAAAACAGATGAAGTGTACTTTTTTAAAAGAAGGTTCTGTCAGCATATGTTGTACTACACACAGTTGAGGCACGCTGTCTTTTCTGAGAAGCTGAAAAAAGAAGCTGTTCTATCAGCCAACTTGTAACTGTAAAGGGAACAAAGCAGATAAAGTGCCATGAGAAAAATGTAACAAATACAGGTCAAAAGAAAAGAATTTAAGCAAAGTAAAGAGGATGAGAATAAAGGATTCTACTGCCTTTATATACGTAAATAATACTGGTTTATATAAAACTGTATTTATGTACAGTACTGAAATGCTTCTTGAAAAAATAAGGAATGTCTCCTGGTGCAGAGAACTGAGATGTACTCTTACAAAAGATGAGGACAGCATATCCAGGTTCAAACCTGTTGGACATTGCCTAGAAAAAATGAAGCAACATCTGAATCAGGGGGTTAATGGACAACTTTAACAGAAGAGAAAACATGCTTGAAGAATAATGAAAGAACTGTTGCTGCATGTGCGAGTGAGACATTTACTGAAAGAGGAAAGAGGGAAAAATTACGCTTACGTATTAACTTTTAAAAGGATTAAGTCTTATCTGGGAAGTGTGCAGGTGTTTCTGTATTTTGAAAGATAACTTGTAAAGGGAAAACTATTGCAGATTGTAGCCAGTTCCCTTTTCACATCATTTTCTGCTCATGTTTTCAATGAGAAATCTATATTTAGAGGACTAGTGACCTAGTGAAAAGACATTTTGCCACAACCAGAGGTTTAGCTTAGCATCTTGGGCTGATGAAACAGATTTTTGCACTTGCTTCTCAAAATTGTTGCCACATTTTAGCAGTGCTGATACCAGTTTAACTCATGGACTAACTTTGTGAAGAAAATTCATTAACTATAAACTCTCTGAGTTTCATTGTTGGTTAAGGTATGATAGCTTACAGTGTCTGTGCAGCAAGTCCTCCTGAAAGAACAGGGAGGAACTAACACTAATATTTCAGGTATTTCCAAACAGAAAATATGGCAGAAGACTAAGCTGTTTCTGCCTAATTTCAAACATTTAATGTATTTTTAAAAGATTTTATGAGTTAATAAATTTATATCTTTGCAAATAATTTTTAAAGAAATGGAAAAACCCATGGAATCCAACATTCTCCATTTAAACTGTGATATATGGACAGGTATATCACTGTTTCAGAGAGGTGAAAACAGAGTCAAGATGCTAGATGGCTAGCTCAGACTGCTGAAAGAGTACTTTACATAGTTCAGATATATCATCTGTAATATTCCCATTCTAGTACTGAGGTTAAAATATTCTTAGAAAGATGAAGATCAGTAGATCTATTTAATATCTTTCCTGTTTTTTTCTTTTTAAAATGCAGCACTGCATATGAAGATTGTTAGCTTCTCCAATGTACAGCATTAAAATAGGAAGTCACAGTACAGTCATGACTGTAGAGAATATTGCTGTCATCCTGCATGTCTGCACTGTATCTCACACAGGTTTAAATGCTTCCATATCAGATACAGCAGGTGTGCGTGAAATTTTATTAGTAAGTAGGCTTATTGGTGTATTCTGTAACTCTGGATTTATGTTTACATTGCCCATCATGGTAGGTATGGGTTTGGCAAGTGCAAATGTACAATATGATATTTACAGTGTTGTTCTTACTTGCTTCATGATCATCTGCTGGACTTGAACATGTGCAGGCGCTACACACTGTACACCGGTATCACCGTATGTTTTTGCCCGTCTCAGTTTTAGAAAATTTGACATTGGGTGTTACTTCTTTAAAAATACTTGTGCTTTGCTGGGAAGGTGATGGAAACACCAGTACCAGAATTATGGTGTTTTCCAGGCAATAGGTGTTAAGTTAATTTAAAGTAAATTTTCAGGTTTATATTATAAACACCTGGCAGTTAGGTAAAATAGGAGTACTAATGCCATGATTAGCTGCTTGTGTTAACGTTGCTAGAACAAACTTTTAAAGGTGCATTTTGTACTTATCTTTCAAAATCCATAGCTCTTTATAATTCAGATGTCCAACCCTGTTCCACTGGAGTTGACAGGAATTTGTGATTAACTTTAGTGGGATCAAGATCAAGGCTGCTGGCAGACAGACTGCTTCTTTTCTATTACCAATTGTATTTTTCTGTTCATGCAAGTACATTGGTGGCTCTATTTTCTGCTGACTATCTCATTCTTTTGGCTCTTGCTCTGTTTTTTTAAAATACTTCATACTCAGAGAGGTTTTTATTTTTCATTTTCCCTGAAAGCTTAGGATATTGACTTTGTTTAGAAACTACAGTATTTGTCAGTTCTAGAGCACTACTTTTACTATTTTTATTCTCTTTATGTATTACAAGTAGAAATGTTTTTCCTCTTTAAAAGATAAGATTGATTTCTGATACAAGCAGATTAGAGTTGTGCTACCTTTTCATCTAGGTGCGCTACATGTCTTTTACTAAAATAACTTACTTTCCAGATGACATTTGTAACATCATCTCTGTCCATCTGTCTTTAGGAACGTAACCAGCCAGCTGGGCAGATTCATTACAATTTATTTCAATTAAACTATATAGCAGTAGGAAGAATAGTAATAATAATAGACTCAAGCGACGCACCCATGGCAGGGCACAAGATGTGTGCTGTGCATTATATACCACTGATGACCATGATCAAATTGACATGGCTTCTCTAGAATAGACCTCTGGCTTCTCTTCTGCAACACTATGATTATCTGTTGACTTGGTGGCTCCTAGTCCTTACAGAAGGAACCACATCTCTAGGTCAGACATACAGATTCGCCCTGAAGTTCCTAGGAAGGAATGGGCAACCAGGAAGTCAAAGGCTGGGCACTGTTGAAGGTAGCTGGTAACAGGCTGAGAGTGGGAAGAACTCTTAATAAAGTGTTTAGTGGAACAAAAACTGAAACTCTAGTTTTCCTCTCATCCTGCCTCTTGTCACTCTTCCCTCTAGCTGCTGCATTTGAGAATTATGATGAGTTTTTTCTTACAGCTGATTAATCTTAGAAGTTGCAATAGGCGTGGTTTCTGCCTTCTAATAGGTGTCAGAGTAGAATGTACTCAGTGACTCAGTTGTCACTGTCACACTCTAACGGTTGATGCATGTCTTAGTCACTCGGGTTTATTGAGGGAATCTTGATGAGTATAGAATTCGACTAATAGATACCTAAATACAGTAACTGGCTTCACTAGGTAATTATTTTTTATTCTAGTAAATGTATGTCCAATTTACTTGTTATAGCACAGATTGTATAAACAGTTGGGTTCCTCAAAATACTGCTGGAAGTCCTTTGTTAAGGATAGGAGTCTACAGAGTCAGCTGAAATGGGAGATATTTTTGGCTTATTAATTTTGGTCTTCTCTGCTTTCAGTTCTTACTGGTATTTGTGGATTTTTTGGCCTGTTTTATCAAAAGGCCTACAGTAAAAACACCTTATGCACAACCTGAAACAAAACTGCCTGGTGTCAGGAGATAGCCTTCTTTTCTGAGCAGCTTATTAGATCAAATAGATATGAAGAACATACTGTGATATCATCCAGTCCTTCCCATTATGTGTGACAGCATGTAATTACAAAGGTTGGTTTTTCCAAGAGAACCCAAATTGCCCATGAGCACAAATCCCACAGAAACTGAGCAGACCCAATGGCACCTGCTTGTTTAGTAATGGCCTTTAAAAATGAAAGCTGTATTTAATTCTTTGAGTTTTACTGTTCTTTGAGAACAGTAGAACATGGAGGAAGTCGGTTATTACAGGTATCTATGTAGGAACATAAAAAAAATCTAATCAGTACAGTATGATAACATAATTTATGTTAATCTTTGTGACTTGGTCTCATTTCAGATGAAGTGGCTATCTGTCCTGCCCCAACAGTGTATTTTGCTGATGACATGTCTCCTAATGGCCTTGGAAGCTGTACCTATAGACATAGATAAGACAAAAGTCAAAGGAGAAGGCCATGTAGAAGGAGAGAAGGTAGAAAATCCAGTAAGTGTAATGAAATTTATCTAATTAAGTATTTTTTTATATATATATAATTGTTAGTAATCTGACTATAGCAAACTCCCTTCCTGAAATTTAGATGTTCTTTACTGGAGTTACTTGCAGGAAGGAAATTACTATCAGCCAGTATTGTCATACACTCTGCCATCTACTGTCGTGAGGTTCTGTTTAAATTTGTTATCTTTCATTTTTTTCCCACAAGCTGCTAAAGGTGAGGTGGCACATGTAAGGAATTCCCCAGCTTACAATAGGAAGCAGTGCTTACTGTTCCACAGAAACTTCTTCCAAGCAATTGAATGGTGGTTTAGGAAATTCCACTCTGTGATTCCAGTTCAGTGTTTCAAATAAAACAGTAATGAATGAATTACACTGTTCAAAAAACCCCAAACTACATTAACATGACAGATGCTTGTGTATGTCATGGATTCCTAAACACGTTTCCCCTCTTCCTTGTCAGCTGCTGAAACAAATGCATCATGAGAATAAATTGTTATAGAACAATGATGCAAATCAGAAAAAAAAAAAAAGATATGTAAGAGAGTACAATGCCTGTGTTGCTGAGATTTGAGTTTCAGTTTAATCACTGTATTTAAACAAAATTAAATGTTTGGTAGTATGTTCTTTTCTTAATTTCACATTCTTTTTTTTGAAGGACACGGGACTTTATTATGATGAATATCTCAGGCAAGTAATAGATGTCCTGGAAACAGATAAGCATTTCAGGGAGAAACTCCAGACTGCTGACATAGAGGAAATAAAGGTAGGTACAAAAACAGAGTTAAATTAAGGTTAATTAAATCCATAATCATGAGCCATATATGTGTTATTCTTTCTTCCTTTTCTTTCTTCATACTCTTCTAAATTTTTTTGAGCTTATATTTCCTCTCATTTTTATTTACTTCAGTATTTAACTCTTACTACATCTTCGTCTTTAGTCAAGGGACAGCAGAACTTATGTTCATTAAAGAATGTCACGGAGTTTAAAAAAAACCCCAAACAACAACATATGCTTTAATGTATAGTTTCTGCCTTCTACCTATCTATTAAAAAGCCAATTTCAGACTCCACACAGGTAGATGAACCTTCACACACCTCAAAGCAGCTGCAAGTGTAGCTCACACTCGCTGTTGCCTGCCAAGTCATTTGGAACACTATTTTGAACATAGAGATGTATCTGCCTTCTGCGATTTAGCTAGTGTGTCACAAATGAATATGATGACATGAGAGAGAATTACAATAAAGTCAGATTTTAAAGTCTGGAGAAATTGAGGAGTTGTGCTAGAGGTAAAGTCAGTGTATATAGCAATAAAATAGACCTCTGGCTTTCTCTGCTGCTGTCCTTTCTTTTGTGCCAATCCACATAGCACTCTCTGCAAAACCTCACCACATTCTTGTCTTTTCTACTTTAGTTCCTGGCTCTAGGTGGTGGCTGTTCTGCATTGCCCTTTATGAGCTAGAAATTCAGCAAGGGACAGGTAGGAAACAACTAAAATCACAGACTTAGAGGAGACCCTGCCTTCTGCATTTCCTTTAATCCCTTACGTTGCCATTGGCAGCTTTTGGCTCCTTTTTGTTCTGTGCTACTTCTAGTGTAACCCTTGAAGGTTACTATCCATTTCCAGATCCTGATAAATATTCTTGCAGAACACATTTGTGACTGTTGCTGTGCTTGTACCTTCTCTAAGAAGTCTTACAGCTGTCATCAAGTGGATGAAGAACACAGCACTTGTGTGCCTCTCACCGTTCTTTTGAACTAATTTGAGAACATTGATCAAGAAGTTTGTCACTTCTTAAACATTATTAGGTATTGCTACTTCAAGGTCATTCTTTAGCTCTTTGAAGGAGCAAGATACTTAGAAATTCTTTTTTAATAAAGCTCTTAGGATGCCTCTTTGTTTCTATAGGCATAGACTTAAAAACATTTTGAATCTGCTCTTTTAAAAAAAATTTGAGAGTCTTACAATATTGGCTACATTGTTGCCAAAGACTGCCACTAGTCTGCTGTCTTGCAGCTCATGTCTAATGGGAATCCTAAAGGCTACTTTCTTCTAGTTTTTATACATAATTTTTGTTTTTTGACAGAGTGGAAAACTAAGCAGAGAGCTTGATTTAGTAAGTCACCATGTGAGAACACGGCTGGATGAACTAAAAAGACAAGAGGTGGCAAGATTAAGAATGTTAATTAAAGCTAAAATGGATTCTGTTCAAGGTAAGAATACAGAATTTGACTAGGTGAGTTAACAGATGGATTGTGTTGGAGAGGTGCCCAAAGTCCATCACTTATGCTTTGTTTGTTGTCAGCAATAATGACTGTAAGCTGAAAGTGAGTGTCCTTTCTGAGCTGGCCTAGGGCCAGTGAAGACCCATCTTTATAAGGAACTGGGCAGAAGAGTCATTTTATAAATAACTAAACTTGATTCTGGCAGTGGATTTTTCAGATACTTCTAATACTTTTCAACCTTTTTTTTATGTTTGTAATGCATCAGTTTATAGATTACACACTGAGAACTAGTAACATAGTAGAACTATATTTAAGAATACAACATGACATGTGTCATGTCTTTACGGGGTAGAATTTTTTTTTTTTTTAATAATCTGTTAAGACAAAAGTTTTCCTTTTTTTCTTTTTAAGCCTTCTTTCCACCAATCAGAGTTATTGTATGGATTTCTAACATATATTAAACATTTCTGTTTTAGAAGATTGTTTTTCTTATTTTTGGGGCAGTTTTAAGCTGAATAATGAAAAACATTTGGAGTAAAAAAAATTATCCATAGCATTTTCTTAATTGTTAATGATATCATACAAACTCAGACAGTTTCTTTTAATTAAAAGGCTTCAGGTTTCTAGTAATTCTGATTGCTTTATGTTTGTGTGGGAAATGGTGCTATCCCTTTTTATTTCTTATTACTGAATAATTTTAAAGTTAGCATTTAGAACTAATTCTGCAAATTTCTTATTAGTGGTTTCTTTTTGAAGAGAATTAGTAGCTCAAAGACAGAGATCCTAATGATGGACTGCACAATCTTGTTTCTGAATGCTGTTTTTCCACAAAGAAGCTCAAATAAAAAGGGCTTAATTTGCTTATGCAGGTTATTTTATTATTAAAATCTTTTGTGAGTTATGGGGAGGGATCCCACTGAATTGAATAGGTAACATTTCAATTTAAAATACTCCAAGAATAAGGATCTGTCGTCTAGGATAAGCGGAATTTTCAGGTGGCGTGTAGACTGAAGCAGCATCCATTTGCAAATACATGTTTATGGGGGTGTTACTAGAGTCAGGAAAGCATCAGATTAATTTGGAAAAAAAAAAAGAAGATATTTATAGTGTAGTACCTTTCCAGTGAAGTCTTTAGGTGCTACCATAGTATAATTAGTGAATAATAATGTAGAGTTGGCTGAGGGCATCAGATCACCTTTCTGACCTTTGCTTTCTGTTAATGGAAGTTCTAGTCCAGAGAGTACAGTCCACTGGTAGCTAGGAAGTGCAGACCAGTGGTAGCCCCTCCACAGAAGTCAGTGTATTGCCTCACATACCTGCCAGACCCTGTGTTCATCTTCCTCAGGTGGCTCTTAAGCTGCCAAGAGCCTGGTCTCATGCTCCTGTTGCAGGCAAGCGGTCCAGCGATATCATGGTGACACTCACAGTGAGCTAGTTGACTGCAGCTAGCAATACCTGATTGTGTACAGAGTAATTTTGTGTATTTTAAAATGTTTTAATAGTTTAATGGATTGATTACTTCTACCCCTCTCTGCTTCCATATATCAAGAGTAACTAACAGAGTGTGCTTTAGAAATGTAATTCCCCCCAACAGGTATGATTTGTTACAGTATAAGTGTGAGATCTTACATTTGGGAAAGAACAAGAACAGATCATTCCAGTTCAAAATATTCAGATGACTACCAAGATGTGAAAACACCAGGAGTGGGAAAATATCTCACAAAGTTTATAATCAGCTCTGCCAGTGAGAATTTCACATCACGTGCAGCAGCTGTATGTTATAGATAATCTGACCATACTTCTTGTATCTCTATACCTATGCAGCATCTTGGAACACCTACAAAAGAGCATCCTGTAATAACAAGTGGCAAGTAAATACTGTCAGATAGAATGAGTCTTTTCCAATAAATATAAGGAATGGAGGAATATGGGGTTTAGGGGATGGGGTTTTTTGTTGGGTTTGTTTTGTTTTTAAAACCTATTATTACACTTCTGAAAAATGTTTCAAAAACAGGCTCAGGCACATATATTTCAACAGAAATTATGATCTCATCGGAGAGGAATGATGGTTGAAATCTGCCCCAGCAGTGTTTGCTGTTTTGTGATAATACAAACACAATACTCAGTGTAAGACAGATAGTTTGCCAAAGAATAACATGTTCAGAGTTGTGTTTTCCAATTTTTTTTAAACAAAGAAAATATTCTTTGCTAAGCCATCTTGTAAAAGCTTGTCAGAGTTGTTATACATAACATATCAAAGTGTGTGCTGCTTAAGACAGCATTATTATCTAGCATTAACAGTCAGAAACCATTGTAACAGCTAGAAAAAGCCTATTGTAGAAATGTGTTCTGTTGTTAGTGTATTGTGTATTGATATTGTTGAGTATAGTCCTGTCATCAGGAAGAGAGAAATGTTTACAGATTTTAGACACAGGACCCAACTTTCCCCTGTCTCACACTTCTCATTTTGCACAAATGAAATTTGATTATCTGCTTATTGGTTTCGATATAATTTTATACCATATTGTACTTAACATCTTTGGCCAGATACAAGTCATTTGCAAAATATATGGGGCAATAGGAGAGTCAGACTTCTCCCAGTTCAGGAAAAAGATGCAAGTTGCTGAAGTTATGTGCAGTATCAAAAATAACTATCTCATTTATATAAAAGAGAATAAAATGTTTTTCTTAGTTTGTGAAGCTCTAATTGATCATACATTTCCTTGCTTGAAACACAACCCTTAATTTGTGCACGTTAAATTATTGTGCACAATGCAACACTGGCACATCAGAAGGAATCCAGTGCAAATTGCTATCAAGCTTGCCGATCTCCTTCAGGAAAAACAACTTCAGAAGTGTTGCTATAGTTTCCTCTGACAGTGAAAAAATTATCTAGTCCTCAGGGAGCCTCAGATACTTAGAAGACATAAGCTCCCTTATGAAAGTTTTTAACTTCCTGATCTCACTTGATTTCAAACTTATTTTAATGTTTTATATTTGTTCCTTGTTCTTTCAGACACTGGCCTAGACCATCAGGCTCTCCTTAAACAGTTTGAGCACCTGAACCATCAGAATCCTGACACGTTTGAACCTAAAGACTTAGATATGTTGATCAAAGCAGTGAGTGTAGATCTAAATGACTATGTGGTTTTTTGGTATTAATTATTATGCTTTTCTTCTTGGTTAAAGGCAAATTCTTTTATATATATACACTACTTTTTTATAAATGACATGCAGTTTTCATTTTCAGAGAAAAGTCAGTTGTCTCCATTGCACACTTGCAAACTGTTGTCAGTGTGTATTATGCTAAAGAGCCCATAAATTTTGGGATGGCATCTTAACAGGACTTGCATTCATGTGCCAGTACAAACAACTTAATAAAATACACCTTTCTGAGAATAAAATATACCTTTTGGGGAGCATTTAAATTAAATACAGTTTTGATAGGGGTACATTTTCCCAAGTGTATTTTCTGATTTCTGTTTCTAAATGATTTAGGTGTCTCACACAATGACATAAATAATTATCCCTAAACTAGCCATTTGAATTTTGGGATCTATTTATATATAGGTCAAACTGCAAAACCACAGCAGAGTAGAATTTAAGATACCAGTATTAGAAATTGCATATGGTGGGCATGGCATTCAATGTCTATTTAGCAGATTCAGTATCAGTCTCAGGTGAGGGGGTGGGGGCTTTCAGTGTGTGTTTATTAAGGGGATGCAGTTAAGCTAAGCTTGGCATGGCTTTTTTCTAACTGCTGGAAAAAATACACTTCCCAATGGGAAAAAAACTAAGATATGCTTTAGAGAGCACTGCATGTCCAACATAAGAATTTGTCAGTTTTTATATTTTCAAAGTAAATTGAAAGATAATATATATTTTACGGTTTCTGTATTTTGTGGATTTTTTTTTTACCCTTGGAAAATTTTATCTCAATTTTCTGTAAAATTATTTTTATATCATTATAAAGTTTCTTGCCATTTCTGAGTATCACTTCTGGGAAAATTCTGGTTGACTAGGAGAAGCATATCCTCAACAGGGCAGTTCATTCTCTTATTATGTTATTTTTCTTCTCATTTCTCAGCTGAGATATTGACAGAGTATAATAGGCATTTTAGGGGGTCTCTGCTTTGGAATTGTTTTTGAAAAGGTACAGTGAATCTGAAAATTAAAATGTAAATAATGGAGAGACCATATCAGGTACAAACATGTTAGTTTGAAAAGCATTATCAAAACGTCCTTTAATACTTGAGCTGTCTGAAAATGATACATCTCTAAACTCTATAAACGTACTTGGAAATTCTTCCCTCACATCCTTTCTCCCCATTTAATTGGGTTTTTTTATTTAATCTGTATTAAGCTACTGCAAACTAACTCCCATTATTAATTAAGGCACTTTTTTCATTAAACTGTAGGATAAGCTACAGATGTTCTTATTCTGAAATAAAGAAGGAGTTAATGGTACTATTTGAAGCTATGTCTAATTAGTATGGGACATACTTAACTTGAGTTAATTTATTATTAATTGATAAGAGACACCTTGATGCCTTCTTACAGTACTGTGTAGTTCCAAAAATTGTCTAGCAGTTGAACACTTGCAAATTAATTTCTGTGAAAATAACGGAGGAGAGGTGTTTCTGCATCACTGTCATGCGAAAGGAAATCCCCAACTACTTTACCTCATGTTTAAAAGAAGAATGGCAATACGGCCAGCCTTGTCCACAGATCTGAACAGTAGTGTTTTGAATGTCATATCTGTTAACATAACCATGTGGCATAAGCATATGTCTACATGTATCTATATTTTTAGGCTACAAGTGACCTGGAAAACTATGATAAGACTCGGCATGAGGAGTTTAAGAAATATGAGATGATGAAAGAACATGAGAGAAGAGAGTATTTAAAAACACTGGATGAAGAAAAGAGGCAGCGAGAAGAATCTAAATTTGAAGAGATGAAGAAAAAACATGGAGATCACCCTAAAGTTCACCATCCTGTAAGGCTACAGTCTGTTCTTAGGTGATTGGGTGGAAGCTTTCCTTTCCAGAGAGAAAAAGCTAATAAAGAGAAGAGCGTGTCTTGTTTGTTCTCAGCATTTGCCTCTGCATCGACATGGGAGCAGAGTGTGAGACCATTACAAAACCCACTATATATACCCACATTTTTTCTGTACAAGTATGCTATTTGCTGGCATGGTTATTATTTACAAAGAAGCTAAAACTCATTAGGAAGAAGCCAGAATGGTATTCATGCCTTCATGGTATTCCTGGCCTGCAAGGAACTGCATCACAGTACTATTTGCTCTAGAAAAAGCAAACTGATTTAACTCCTTTCAGCCATTATTCCTACATGGGTCTGTGTGGCCATGACTGATTATTACAGATGTTCCGTTCCAAAGAATATGCATTTTCTTGATATTCCCTCTTTC